GTTTTTTTTTTGCCTTTTTTGAATTTTTTTCTTTGTTACGTTCAGTTTTATCCCGCCTCTCTCCTCTCCTCACATTCCCAGTCCGAGTCTAGGAGAACCTCCTTTTTTTTTTTTCGCCTTTTTTCTTTGTTACCTTCAGTTCCCACTTGATCAGTAAGGCTTCTACTTGGTTGGTAGATAGACGCGTTCGGTCAGGAAAGAGACAGCGTTTTTAAGGCTACCTTTTTTTTTTCCCTTTTGACCGAACGAGACAGCGTTTTTAAGGCTACCTTTTTTTTTCCTTTTTTTTTCTTTTTTGTTGGGGGTGTGGGAGGCATGGTTCATAAGGCTACCTCTATTTTTTTTTGGAAAGGGAAACTGCCCTGAGATATCATCGTGGAAGTGACGAGGTGCCGAGGGCGACACTCCTTAAGACAATGCAAATTGCTGAACAGAATGTGACCGTTATTGTTGGCAGATACGTTCCAGGGAGTCGGAGTCTTCCCGGAGAGATTTATTGGGGGGGGGGGGCAGAAGCGAAAGCTGGCACACGGCGACGATCGTGCTTGGTCCGTTCTGCTGTAGTCGCGTGCTAGACTGACATCTCACTCAACTGGATGATGAAGTGACCCGGCGTCTAAGGCGACTCGTTAACATGATGCAACTCTTTGGATAGAACGTATGTGACCATACTTGTTCATACTTGTTGGCAGATACGTTGCAGAAAGTCTTGGGTAACCTGCTGTGTTGGAGGGGCGGAAGCGAAAGGTGACGCACATCGATGATTCCGCCCCTCCTGGTGGTTCTATTCAGAGGAAGATGCTAGAGGTTTCTATTCAAAGGAAGATGCGAGAGCACAGAAGCACAGTGAATACATTGGGAGAGTCCGTCGGTTAATGCAAAACCCATCTTTTAAAGCGAGGTCCTCGAGGTTCTTGCGAGGAAAGTGTGTCCTTCACCACCATTGTGTCCAGGTCCATGCATTTCATGCATGAACATGGACAGTATCGTATGGCGGCCCGGAATGCGACTGGCTTCGCTTGGGGAAAACATCAAATAATAAAAAGGTCGTAGAAAAAATTCAGTTTCCCCAACTTGAAATCAACAGAACCAAAGCACGTTTTGAGAGATCGCGACCCTCATCATGACTGAATCTGGCCTGCAAGAACCCTACCATACAGACTGCAATTACCGTTGAGGTTCTGACAGGTTGGACGTGCCGGGCGACACTCGTGCAAAGAAATTTTGATTTTTTTCCTTTAAAAAAAAAAAAAAAAAAAAAAAAAAAAAAA